CTTTGAAAGTCAACGAAGGTCATTGTTTCTCAAAAGTGAAAGAGAGGAAAATGAAACATAATCATGAACAAGAACCAGTTAATGTAATGTGTGAGTATGACCAACCAACCAACCAACCATGCTTTGTTTATTACATTAAAAAATATGGACGAACACAAAAGTAACGGATTATATGGATCTGTGATTTTTAATAGTATAGACTCAGATCATTATGTGTAATAGAGATTCAAGATTGACTCAGCAATGTCCCTCACATCTTATCTTAAACGTTCAAAACATGTATACTACACATATAATAAGCAGTCCTACTTTTCCTAAAGTAGGCAAGTTTTCTGGTTATATAAAGTCTAAAACTGGCAAATATGTTGAGATGGAGAGAATCTTGTTTTAGTTGCATCACGTTCATTTGTTCCAGCTCCAGCAAGATCAATGCTGCTCGTTCTGGTAGTATTGAAACACCAATGATGGAGCTCCCTATACAAAGATAATATTTGATCAATCGGTCATCAGATTTGAATATGCAAGAAAGTCGAAAATTAACTATACATTGGTCCAAGTCTCCAATGAAAGAAAGTACTACAATGAGTTGTGGAAAATTTTGAAGAATTCTATACAAAAAATGTAAATTTCTATGGATTTGGCCGAATCATGGTTCAATCAAGATTGGTTTTTCTCGGATATTATTTCATTAGTTGAAGAAATTATATACAAAGTTGTAAATTTCTATGGATTTTTTATCTGTTATATAACAAATTGTATGTGTTACTATCGCCTGAAAATGAAATTATTATTCATGCAATAGAATTTAACGTTGCTACTAGGGGATTTTTCATGTTTAGAGAAATGGAGTCAACTTGTGATAAAAACCCTATTATGTTACTAATGTTGTGAGTCAAAGAAAGCTCAGAAACGTGTTTATAAAGTAATTTGGCTCGGCTCGAGAAACCACTAACACATTGAGATTTCTGTTAAAAATGTTACAAGAAAACATGATTTGATCAGATAACTTAAAATCTAAGTCAAAGCACATCTAATGATACCAAAGGATTATTCAAAGCACATTATAGCAAAACAAAGAAAACCAACACACAGAGAAAAAGATTGCATATGTAGCTTATTTAGTCACCTCTTATTCTTTTGCCTCCAAGTCCAGCTCACCCGATTCGAACCAAACTTGGAACATAGTTAAGATTAAATGGCCTACAATATGAATCCATTAATGTTTCTACTCCAAAATCCACTTGTATAACTTTATTATCCTCCCCAACAATGTATATTAAATCTTTGGACTTGGCATTGGGGTTGGGGGAGAATATAAATTGCACACACCACATTAAAGTGATTTTCTTCTTCTCCTCGTGGCCAAAAAGCGACTTAATCTACTAATACAGCCATCACAAAACAGTTAACTAGTGACTCCAAAAACAGTCACAAAATGGTCGCAAATACATCATTTGCGACTACTTAGTGACTACAAATAGTAGTCGCTGATAATTCGTCGCAAATGAAAACCATTGCAAAAGAGTCGCATGACTACGACGTATTTGAGACGTATTTGACGTATTTGAAACCGTCGCAAAGGAGTCGCATATTACCGACTACAAATATGCGACGTATTTGAGACGCTACTAGATTGTCGTAGATGTGAGACAAATATGCGACTTAATAGTGTGGTCGTTTGATAGAGACGAACTTGTGACTACTTGTTTAGTCGTATATGTGTGACGCTTTTAAGACTAACAGTAACAGTAGAGACGCTAATGAACGGTGGTAGTCGCAAAGTTGTCTTGAAAGAGTTTCCATCACTCATTAGCAACCAAATTGCAACTGTTTTTTGGGTTTCTTCAATGGTAGTGTTGCAAATCAGTCACAAATTTGCAACATTTCTGTGACCTTATTTACTGAAA